TATCCTTTTATAAACCAACATTATCAGTTTGTCTTTTCATAAACCAACACTATCATATTATCCTTTTATAAACCAACATTATCAGTTTGTCTTTTCATAAACCAACATTATCAGTTTATCCTTTCATAAACCAACATTATCAGTTTGTCTTTTCATAAACCAACATTATCAGTTTGTCTTTTCATAAACCAACACTATCAGTTTATCTTTTTATAAACCAACATTATCAGTTTGTCTCTTCATAAACCAACTTTATCAGTTTGTCTTTTCATAAACAAACATTATAAGTTTGTCTTTTCATAAACAAACATTATAAGTTTGTCTCTTCATAAACCAACATTATCATTTTGTCTTTTCATAAACCAACACTGTTAATTTCAAGTCATCTTTCTTGATTTCTCTTCTCCAAGTATCCCACACTTTTCTGGTTTAACGTACTTGACATCAACTGTTTGATTTTGACAGTTCTCGTGTAACTTAGATTGTGCTTTAATTCAAAGAAACAATTTTATTGGCTCTCTTTACATATATTTCTACCAGAATGTAAAATACACAAAATCGTTTATAGATACGACAGTTTTTGTTTTAATTTTTCAGTTCTTATTGACCATCAGGTGGGAGAGCGGTAAGTCTACGGACTTACAACGCTAAAATCCTAGATTCGATTCTTCGCGGTAAACATAGCAGATAGCCTAATGTGGCTTTGCTGTAAATCAAATCAATGGTTGTTATCTGCTATATTTTGGAAAATCACAAAGCAAACATATCAAAACTAGGTTGGATTTCTCAAAGCCACACGATAGACTAGTTATAGGATTTAGTAAAGCCAACATACTAAAACTAGGCTTAGCCTTTTTCAAAGCTAAATTGTTAAAACAAGGTACAATTGATTAAAGCCAACATGTCAAAACTAGGTAAAATTTATTAAATTCAACATGTCAAAACTAGGTGAAATTTATTAAAGCCAACGTGTTAAAACTAGGTACAATTTATGAAAGCCAACGTGTTAAAACTAGGTACAATTTATTAAAGCCAACGTGTTAAAACTAGGTAAAATTTATTAAAGCCAACATGTCAAAACTAGGTAAAAATTATTTCAAACCAACATGTCAAAACTAGGTAAAATGTATTAAAACCAACATGTTAAAACTAGGTAAAATTTATTAAAAGTTCAAACAATATAAAACTAGGTACAATTTACTAAAGCCAACATGTTAAAACTAGGTAGGGTTTATCAAAGCCAAAATGTTAAAACTAGGTAGAGATCCTCAAATTCATAATGTTAAACTAGGTATAGGATTTAAAAAGTCCAACATGATAAAATTAGGTAGAACTTATATTAAAATTCTTTATTCAATTCGCGTGCTTTTTCGAAGAAACAGAAGCAGGAGATTTTGGAACTAAATTTTTTAAACATAGAATACTTTTATTTAATTTGCTTTTAAAGAAACATTATGAGTATTAGTTCTTTACGAACTAACAGGCAATCTTTCTATAAACTAGCTCATAATTCGAACTTTGTTAATATTTAATATGAAGAAGGTACTCAGTGTTTTAAAGAAGCTTACATTTTCAGTCGAGAGGGCGCCACTTTCCAATCGAATAGTACTTTATGTAGCTTTCAGAACCACGACAGCTCACTAATTGGTAAGTTTGACATATTCTGTTAACCTTGACAAGCTGATTAGGTCCTCACACAAATATAACGAGCCAACACAAGGTTTAATCATGGCTGTTCCCTGTTTATCAGATCAATCCAAACTGTGAGATGTGGCTATTGGTTACTTCAACCGTAGGCAACATTAATGAACTAGGTCCCACATTACAAAGACGTGTAAACCAAACTAGCGTAAACCTTTGTTGTAGCCCAGCACAGATTAGTAATAGTGAGGAACTTAAATGGGATATTTCATCAGTGGCAGTGGTTTTGGTTTTGTTACCAGGAATGGTGTTATGTACTAAAAAGCAACGAACACGTGGGCCTTCCACTGCTTAGTTTTCAACGTGGAAACAGTTTTAGCTGGAGATACAGAAACTATCTATTTCACTTAAACCGTTACAAACACCAGACGTGATTATATGTTTTAGTTCGTTTCACCATAAGACATAGCAAACCGCACAAGCTACGATTAAACCTTGTGTGGGCTACACTCGTTAACTGAAACTGCGTCCAGTGCTCCTTATGTGGGATAAATACTGTCCAGTACTCCCTTGTGTGACTGAAACACTCCTCAGTACCCCCAAGTGTGGATGAAACACTCCCCAGAACTCCTTTGTATGGATGAAACATTCCCCAGTACCCCTTGTATGTTATAAACACTCTCCAGTACCACCCTTGTATATGTTATAAGCTCACCAATATCCCTTTTGTGGATTAAACACTCTCCAGTACCTCATTGTGTGGGTTAAATATTCCCCAGTGCTCCTTGTGTGGTGAAACGCTCCACAGTGTCCCCTTCTGTGGGTTAAACATTTTCCAGTACTCCTTGTGTGGGTTAAATATTCCCCAGTGTCCCCCCTTTGTGGGTTAAACAATTTCCAGTACTTCATTGTGTTGGATGATTAATCCCCAGTACCCCTTTGTGTGCGCTAAAAACTACCTAGAGCCCTCTTACGTGGGTTAAATACTCCCCAGTACCCTATCCTCTGGGTGTAACACTCCCCAGTATCATTTACAAACATTCGTCTCAGCCTGTCCAGTTGATATTTGCACTTTGCTTGTCCAAGCATGTTTTGTTCTTTTATCACTGTCTTTACACTCAACACCTTAACACTACGGTACTTGTTGTTGTAATGTTGTCGGTGTTGTCACAGAACATGTTCGTAACCAACTGAATGTAAATGGTTGATCTGTCATGTCCACAGCACAGCACTTAGTATATATGTTTGTTGTATTTTTTGTATGATAGTGTTTTATTTTTATCTTCAAGAAAAGTTAACTAATTTGGTACAGATATAAAAGTATGATATTAGTTTCATATAGATTTGTGTAATTATTATTGATATTATTTTTGAATTTGAAAGAAAACGGGGGTTAATTTTTGATTAGTCGAGTTTTTGCAGCGGGTTATTTAATGAGTCATTGATAGCAAGATGAATTTTCTAGTTCAATCGAACACATTTTGTCTTAGTATTCACCGTTTATTTTAAATCGTGCCAAATTTCCAATCAACTTGTAAAAACGTTTTTTACAAATCAATATTAGTTAAAAAATATTCATGACGCTGCTTGATATTGAGAACAGGTCGATACGAAAAACTTGAAGAGTGTGTCAGTAGTTGTAATATTAAAGTTGAGGTTATAAGACTGATTTAAAGATGCTTAGTTTAACTGATGAAATAACCTCATTCTTCGGACTTGGATGTTTTCATATACTGTTCTTCTCTAATAGGTACGTACTTCGCTTGCACGATGGTGATGGTGGCTTTCTCAGTCGTCATGACTGTCGTCGTTCTGAACTACCATCATCGTAACTCGGACACCCACGAGATGCCCCAGTGTGTATGTATCAAAACTTGGTCTTGGTTAAACACGCAACTGGTGGTGGTATTCTGAACTAAACTAGAAATATCCAGTTTGTATACAGTTACACGAATACTAGGTTATACACGCAACTGGTGGTGTTATTCTGAACTAAACTCTACAGGGTGTTGTCGTTTCAAATGAATATTTTTAAAGTGTTGGAAATATAATCTTTGGAATCTATAATACAGACCTCAAGCTTAGCATTAACAGTAACACACACTTGACTTCTACTATAGCTCTTCAGGAGGAACGGGAAGTCACAAAAACACTTCTCCAAACAGAGTTAACAATCTGCAGTCACGGGAAATAATTATGTTGTTCACCCTAAATCACTTCGTTTAAAGTTAATTATAAAACAAGCCGTTCAGAGTTAATTGTCTTTGTTCTTTAACCCCAAAATAAGATTAAGACTGTCATTAGAAAACCAAATTATTTAGTGAAATATTTTGATTTAACAATCTACCGATTATTAAAACTGAAAGTAATTACTAAAAACTAATTAAATATCCATCTTGCCTAATTTACAATACCGGTTTTTAATTAATGTGAAGCCTGGTGTCGTATATTGTTAGCGCGTTGAGCTACGGACCAGGGTTCGACATGGGGTGTGATTTAGTGTGTTGAACTGCGGTTCATGGCTCGATATGGGGCTTGATTTAGTGTTAGAGTGTTGAGCTGCAGATCATAGGATCCAGGATTCTGCATAGGGCATGGTTTAGTGTTTGCGTGTTCAGCTGCGGTCCAGGGTTCATGGTGAGGCGTGATTTAGTGTTTGAGTATTTGACTGCATATCATAAGGTCCTACATTCAAGATGGGGCGTGGTTCGGTTATAGTGTGTTCAGCTGCGGAACATAGGGTCCTATATTAAAAATTGGGTGTTATCAAGTGTTAATGTGTTGAGCTGCAGGACATAGGGTCTTGTATTAACGATGGGGTGTGATCTAGTTTTAGTGTGTTGAGCTGCGGAACATAGGGTCCTATGTTAAAATTTGGGTGTTATCAAGTGTTATTGTGTTGAACTGCAGTAAATAGGGTCTTGTATTAAAGATGGGGCGTGATCTAGTGTTAGTGTTTTGAGGGTCCAGGATTCAAGATGGGATACTTTCTGAGTAAAAACAAAACGTAACACATAGAGCATCTTGTTACACAGTCCACATAAAGCGATTATGATGAAGATTCTTTAAGTACATAAAGTTATTGTGATTTTTTAATGTGAGTGGATGCTGCTATTAACTTATCACTAACTTCCGTTCTGCTTTGTTTTCAGATAAAATCTATATTCCTTGTTTGGCTTCCGTGGATTCTGCGCATGAGCAGACCAGGTCGAAAAATGAGAGAAAAAAGTGTTATGTTCAACAACAAAATGAAAGAGTTAGAGCTTAAAGAAAGGTCTTCCAGAAGCCTATTGGCCAACGTCTTGGACATTGATGACGACTTCCGACCGGCGTACTCTACATCTGGCTATTTTCATGTTTCTTCAAATGATGACAGCGGAGCTATACATTCATGTATTGCTACGCAAAAAGAAATTAGTGCCATCATTCGTGAACTTCGTTACATCACAAATCATTTGAGGGATGATGACGACGCAAACGAAATCATAGCAGAGTGGAAATTTGCTGCTATGGTAATTGACAGAGTGTGTTTAATCATGTTTACAATCTTTACAGTGGTGTCGACTTTTTTGTGCCTATTCTCGGCTCCTCATCTTTCAGCTTGAGCCACTCAAAATACACACATGTCAAAACATTCACAGTGGCGTTACCTTTGTACTTTTGTGTCCTACCCTAGGAACTGGAAAACGGTTTATCTACTGGTGTAGTTATAACTAAACCCGCTTACGACTGTAATTGAGTGTCAATAATACAAATAAGTGATTAGGCTTATCAAGTGTGAGGTCAAAGTAATTTTACCGAGAGATTCTGAAAGGTAAAGTCAACTTCTACGAGAACAGTAAGGAGAGATACACAATATGGGACAATGTGTTATATGGCTAGCGAACAAAACTGAGCCGGTAATTTCTTATTGCTTATTGCAATAAACTGATTATTTGTTCCACAAGGGTTCTAAAAACGTTCAGCACTTTCAACTGAAAAGGCGTTGTAACTACGATACTCAATCTCAGTTCTCTGTTAAGCACTACTATGTAGGCGGCGGGTCCTTACCCTCACTCTGGTCTGGAGTTCCAAATATGGTATAATAACTTGTTTTAAATTAAGCTTTTGTTAAGTTAGAGGCTGTTATGGAATGAACAATAGTTCAGGAGCAAATATTTATACGTGACTATAATCAAAACTATTAGGTTATTATAATCACACGTGACTATAAAAACAGCTATCAGCTTGATATAGTCACGCGTGACTGTATAAACAAAGCTATGAGTTTGATATAAACAAAGCTATAGGTTTAGTATAAACACACATGACTACAGAGACAAAGCTATAGGTTTAATATAAACAAAGCTAAAGGTTTAGTATATACACACGTGACTATATAAACAAAGCTATAGGTTTAGTATAAACACACATGACTACAGAGACAAAGCTTTAGGTTTAATATAAACAAAGCTAAAGGTTTAGTATATACACACGTGACTATATAAACAAAGCTATAGGTTTAGTATAAACACACATGACTACAGAGACAAAGCTTTAGGTTTAATATAAACAAAGCTAAAGGTTTAGTATATACACACGTGACTATATAAACAAAGCTATAGGTTTAGTATATACACACGGTAAATATTTGCCTT